CACAACAAATGACACAGCAGCGTCTGTGAGAGCAGACAGTGGTGTGCATGCAAAGAAACCCCAGTCCTGCTTGTGGATGCATGTACCCAGAACCAGTCCTGAAACTGGCATCTCTTAACTATGCCAAGCTCTGCTGTTTGTACAGTCATATTGACAGAAGTTCACTTTATCATTCTCTGAAATTGCAGTTTAAACTGACACAGAATCAGCAAAGGTATTTATTTGAAAGCATCTTTGCTGCTGGACAGCTGCAGTGAGAATAAAAATTCTCTTTTCATTTATACAGCAGCTGATTTTAATCAAACAAAAGAAGATGTAGTTTATAATTCAGAGGTAAATTGTACTTCCAACACGGTGTATTTTAGCTGATCTAGAAATATTGACATCCTGATTATTTAATTTTAAATATATGACTTAAGTGCCTGGAGGAAATAGTCTCTAAATGAATCTGCTTGGGCCTGGCAGTAGCAGCTACATGCCTTGCATGCTTAGCTGGTCACAATTTTTCTTTTTAGTGGTAGGTATCTTTTGGTGACTCATCTAAAATAGAAACTCTTGAATTACCTTTTTTTTTTTTTCCCGCCCCTCTTCAAATACCGTTGATGAAGAAACTAAATACCACATTTGCAAAAAAAAAGAACCCTTTACCTAGTGGGCCTCATTCCTCTTTACATTTCTTCTAGGCAAGCTAGAACAAAAAATAAGTGAATGAGGGAGAGAATTATTGCACAAGACCCTTTATATATAGAAATAAAACAATATATTGAAATATATTACATTTTATAGATTCTGGTGGTTTTTTTCCTTTTGGATCCTCAAATTGTTTCACAGACTTATAAAATGCAATTTGTCAGAAGTCTGATTAAAGATCTGTGCTAGTCTCTTCTCCCAAGTAACAAGCAATAGGACAAGACGAAACCGCCTCAAGTTATGCCAGAGGAGGTTCGGATTGGATATTAGGAAAAAAATTTACACTGAAAGGGTTATTAAGCATTGGAACAGGCTGCCCCAGGTTGAGTCACCGTTCCTCATGGTATTTAAAAGATGGGTAGACGTAGTGCTTAGAGATATGGCTTAATGATTTTTTTTTTCGTGTTAGGTTGATGGTTGGACTAAATGATCTGAAAGGTCCCTTCCAACCTAGGCAATTCTAGGATTCTAGAAAAGCTATGCAAATAATACAGGTCAATGTGCTGGTTCCCAAATGTATAACAACACTTAAAAAGATGGTCAGTGTCACCATTATGGTTATGTTTTGAAGAGTTTTAACTTGACCATTATATTTCATTGTTGAGAGAGACTTGCATATGGGGATTATACAAAAGTCAAGGAAACTAGCCCAAACTTTTCATGTTTAGGGTTCTCTTGGCTTTTTTTGTTTTCCGCTCCAGGCTAACTATCACTTCTTGGCACACCAGTTGCTCTTTCAGTAAGGAGAAGGACCATTTCAGGACCCTGTTTCCTTTGCCTGTTTCAAGACTTCTCTCAGTTTTAGTGTTTCAGAGCTGTGTGGGTACGGAGTGCGGGTGCTGCCTCCACAGGCTCCCTCTTACAGCTGGTATCTCAGGCAGAGATGGAACTTGTGTGGTGGTCCTTACTCAAGGATGTGCAGGAGGGAGCAATCTAACCCCTGCATATTCTGTGGAAACGGATACGGCTTTGAAGGCTTTTCTAAGGTGTCTGTTCATCCATTCATGCTGTAGGTTCATGTTGAAGGTATGTCTTTTGTTTGTTGGGTTTTGGGGTTTTTTTTGCGGGGGTTGGGGATGTATGGATTGTGGTTCTTGGAGGTCCAGTAGTTGGTTTCTTTGGTCGTGTGTTTTAGGGGGTTTTTTTGTGGCTTTTTGTTTGTGTGTGGGTTTTTTTGGTTTTGGGGCTTTTTTGTGTTTTTTTTTTAAACTCTAATAGTGTATTAGGTGCATTTTCTTTCTCCTTCTGTGCATACCATAGTGTAGTGAAGGGTATAGTGAGTTCCTGTTTCTCCCAATTGCTCAGCTGACTTTAAACTTGTCCTTTTCTCATGCAAGAACTTGTGATTAGGTTTCTAGCTGCTACCTCGATTCACTGGTCTCTTGTCTGGTTAGTGTCTCTGAAGACTCTTCTCTGAGTAGTTGCAAGTAAGCTTCTACTTGCAGTTTCCCACAATGTATTTAATACATTTAAATTAATACATCCAAAACAATTACTACACTTAATAAAATAGCATAATACATTTAAACAGGTAGAAGTTGAGGTAGAGAAAAACTTAAACTGTTATTGTTTTTCTCTGAGATATATTATCGGAAGTGCATTCACATCTATCCTTCAAAGTCTAACCTTGTCTTTGGATATTCTCATTGAGAGAAAGGCGTGTTTCCTGCCTCCATTTTTATGTGAGATGCATATAGCAAGAGAAGGAATTCAGGTAGGTAGGAAAATTTCTTTGGCCCCAAAATTTTCCCACTGTACAGCATGACTGTACATGTAAACAACTATGTCAGAAACCATCTGTGGCATGCAAGTAGCCTGTCTTTCTGAATGGTTGTTTGGATTTAGAGGCTGAGGAAAGGTGGTGTTGTGAAGGAATCTTTGCTTCTGTTACTGAGGTCTGCGCACAAGGTATAGGTGGGGAGAAATCCTCTTGTTGCTTTCAGGATACAAAGACATCAGACCTGTCAACATTTACATCTTAGTCCTTATTAATACCAGGATTAGTCCTATAACAGTCAGTATCCTTTTTGTTATGGAAACCACAGCATCCATAAATATGTACAGATTTAGTATCTGGATGAAGAGTGCTGGTCCTTTCTTTCTGGAGATACAAGTTTCTCTTTTTGTTGGGTCCCGGGTAGAAATGTGTTTTGAAACTTACCTGGGATATAGGAGCCTGGTTACATAAAGTCTGTGGAGCTTTATTTACAGCCAGAGAAACAGAGAATGCTGAGCTTTCAGTACAAATGTTTCATTTTATTCTTGTTTAATTTCGATCTATTATATTTCTGCATTTATGGGTATTTCTGAGAATTTAAAAATTAAAAGAAGTAAAGTTTGTGTTTCTTTAACATGAAAGTACCATATTCCTAGGTGTTTGAATATCTGTTGCTGTACTGTGTACAAGAAAAACACCTTTAGGGAGTCTGTAATGAGGTATCTGTCCTTCATTTTGCTTCCTAAATACACATGCACAATCTTACAGAAACTTGAATTAGAACTAGCTGTTAGTAATGTACTGGTAAACTACTAATATGCATTAGCTATGATATAACCCATGTATACACACTGGTTGAATTTGGATAAGAAAAGTACATAATGCTTGAAATATCATCCTTGCGAAAAATGAACTATCAAAACATTGAAACAGACTCTTTATGCCCCCATATAAATGAGTGCACAGGACTTTTTTGAGGGGATACTGCCTGCTGTGAGCCACAAGCAATTTATATATAGGGACAGAATCATATTGGAATGTGACATCATAAAATAGACTACCTAGAAAGGTAGGATGAATAATTTAGCTGCTTAGAAATTTCCCCCCTGTTTTTTCTGAAACATAAGAGAATTTAGCAGAGAAACTAAAACTGACTATTAAATTTATGTACCACTCAGGTGTGTTATGTCTTTGATCTATTTATTTTAGTTTAAATTAATGAGGATTAGTTGTGTCCAGGTCTTAGCTGGAAGGCTTCTAAAGGCAGCAAAATAAAGTGGTAAGAGAAGAACAGTTCGTCTTGTGACGGCTGGTGCTACAGTAATGCTTGGGAGCAATGTTTACTACCCATTTTGCTTTCAGAGTGTAGCTTTTAAAACACACTGCTTTTACTGTGGAGTATCTTTTACTTAATAGCCCTTTGCTTCATGTGTTTAGGATGTTTATTGTTCACAAATAGAAAGTTTCCACCTTATTAAACAGCCCACTGTAGTTCAGTGAGATCAAATGTATTAGAAGTCAGTATTGCTGATTATTTTTTCCTGAATTGCTCCATTAATTAGCAGAATGACATTTCTGGCATTATGGAGTTGTCTTAAATCTCCCGTCGTCCCCCCCCCACCCTTGAAAGGCAGTGATGTCTCATAGCTGTGTGCTATCAGCAAGCAAGCCTGTGGGACTCAGTAAAGCTGCTTAGTGGCAAAAGTTTTTTGGGTCACAGTATTAGGTTGTTATTGCTTGGAATGTTTTTTATGATAAAGCTAAAGAAATTGGGTTGGAGGAAAAGTGATATTGACACCATGAATATTCTGTTACTTATAAAGTAAGGGTCCGGTTATTGGGTGTTTCAAAAAATTAGGGAGAGGACACTTCAACTTTATTCAAGTACCGAATGAAAACCATTACATGGTTAATTACAGTAGTAAAAGGGGTCTTCAGCGTTAGAAACTGCAATATGCAGCCTTGTCCTCAGTCTTGGCAAATGGGTAGGGTCAGATCTAGTGACCCTCCTGCGAAGAAAAAGTGCATTTTCAGAGCATTGAGAGGAACCTTGTCCTACTGCTTTCTGTGCTGTGCTATACGTACTCTATGGATAGGCAAAAAATACATGCACTAGGGCTGTTGTTTTGTCAAAACAGTCAGTAAAGTGAAGGAACAGTTCTTTCCTACCTTATACTTAGAAAGGAATAAAAGCACTTCCTCCTTTGTGAGGAAGGCAGAGCGAGGGGCTGTGGATCCAGGTGAACGTGGAACATAAATTTAGATACATTTGCTGTATCTAAAAAAAATAAAAACCGTTGCAGAACATTATTTCTACCCCCCCACATTATAAAATGAAACTTCAAAGTAGAAGAGGTGAGGAATGAATAACAGTCTTTGAATCCTGCTGGCTGATAAAAGAAATAATATTCCTAAATTGAGTAACCGATGATAAGTTTATGAAGTAATTAGAGGAGCAGCTGATAGCATACTTTTGAGGAGTCAAATACAATACCGACAGAAAGCAATGTTGTTTTGTTTTATACATCAAGAATTGTCTAATTTTTTCTATGGTTTGCTCTTATGCTTGAGTAAATTTCTTTGAATTCCCCAGGTGCTTTTCCCACATGAGTGCAAGAAGAGTAGCTAGTTAAAAGAAGTGACTGCTGGGGAGGACAGCATGACCGCCATGAAAGGAAGCTGCCTCCTCTCACTGCTGTTGGCGGGACTTGGGGTATTAGGAATACTGGAGCCAACAACAACAGAAGATACCCACTGCCACAGAGCTGAGCACCCAGTTATTGCATACAAAGGTAAGGGTATGAACAAAAAACTTTTCCAGAAGTAAGCTAAGAATTGTGTAATTTCTTCATGGAAACCTCTGTTTTTAATGTATAATGGTATGAAAACAAAAAGAGCATTCAGCGCCGTTATATAGTAACCTGGACTGTATTCCATACAAGTTAAATACAACTAGGCTTGCAAAATTTGTTCACAATTTGGTGCTGAATGTGTCATGTAAAGGTCGATGACTCGTTTTCCTCTTTTATTAAAACTAGCCTGTACTGTTGCATGGGATTGTCCCTTTCCAGGTTGCCTTGGTTTGGGATGGGGCAGAGCCACCTTTCTGTTTAGTGAGAGAGGCTCTTGCTCTTACAAGCTGTGGCAACCAGGGGCAGCTGACTTGGTTGCTTACCCTGTGGAGAGGCTGTCCCTGTGGGGAGGTGTGGACAGGTCAGGTGACCCAAACTGACCTATAAGGTATTCCATCCATCTCCCATGCTCAGTATAAAAGCTGAGGGATGCGAGGAGTCAGCTTGGCTTCTCTTCAATGACTCTGCTTCAGTGGTTCCCTTTCTTCAATGACTGATGCATGAGGAGGACCCTGTTAGTTTGTCTACCTTTGATTCTCAACTGGATCCTGTTCTGGTATCCAATTCCCATTTGTCACTGAGACCAATCTGGAACCTTCCCAGTGCCTGCCAGTGACATCTTCCTGAGAGCTTTATAAAGTTTTGTATATATATCTATATATTTTTTATATATTTAATTATTGCCTTTTAATAATTTTTTTTATAATTATTTCATAAAAATAGTTGAGGTTTTTACTCAACTCATAAATCTCTTTGTCTCTCCTCTTCCTCTCCTTGGAGCAAGAGGTGGGGGAGAACATCTGTTGTCTTGTCATTGGCCAACCCAGCCCAAACCACTACAAAGGTACAGGACTCTCCATGTCTTCACTTAATTTCATGAGGTTGCTCTTGGCCAATTCCTGCAGCCCATCTGTGTCCCTCTGGACAGCAGCTGTGCCCTCAAGCTTATCAACTGTTTCTCCGAATTTGGTGTTATCTGCAAACTTTACAGACTGCACTCCGTTGCCTCCCCTTGGTCATTGATTAAGGTCTTAAACAGGACAGGTCCTAGGACCATCCCTTGTGATACTCCGCTTGTTACTGACCTCGTGGTGGAGCCAGGTCCCTTAAACATTTAGTCTCTGGGCTTCATCATCCAACCAGCTCTTTATCTGTCTGAAGGGACAGACCATAACATCTTAACTTGCAGTCAGACAGTGTTGAAAGCCTTGAGATAAATGACATCCCATGCTGTCCCCTCATCATTAAAACCTAATCATTTTATTATAGAAGACAATTGGGTTGGTCAGGTGTGATTTATTCTTGGCAAATCTGTGCTGACTTCTCAGTCACCTCTCCTCTGTACGCCCAGGAAAGTGCATTCCAAGAGGACTAACTCCGTCACATTCCCAGGAACTTAAATGAAATCAACTGGCCTGTAGTTCCCATATTTCTTTTCCTGCAGTTACTGAGGACCTTTCTTCAACCCTGTGACTTCTCAGAGATGAAGAGTCGCTGGTTATCTCTGTGTCCATGGATGCAGCTTGTCTTATCCCATGGATTTGTATAGGTTGAAATGCTGCAAGTCATCTCTGACTCAGGCTGCATCTACTGCTGATAGTTCTTAAACCTCTTTACTAAACACCAGGTGCCTTTGAGACCTTGATGGTGAAGACTGAAACAAAGGAGGTAGGGAGTCCCTCAGTGCCATCTGTGTCTGCTGGCACTAGATCACCTGCCCAATTCAGCAACAGGCTTGTATTTTCTTTGTTCAACTTTTCACCACTATTGTAGCAGTAGAAGCTGCTCCTCTTGCCCTTGATGTTCCATACAAGTCTTAACTGCCATTGAACTTTGAGCTGCCTCCTCTCACTGCTGTTGGCGGGACTTGGGGTATTAGGAATACTGGAGCCAACAACAACAGAAGATACCCACTGCCACAGAGCTGAGCACCCAGTTATTGCATACAAAGGTAAGGGTATGAACAAAAAACTTTTCCAGAAGTAAGCTAAGAATTGTGTAATTTCTTCATGGAAACCTCTGTTTTTAATGTATAATGGTATGAAAACAAAAAGAGCATTCAGCGCCGTTATATAGTAACCTGGACTGTATTCCATACAAGTTAAATACAACTAGGCTTGCAAAATTTGTTCACAATTTGGTGCTGAATGTGTCATGTAAAGGTCGATGACTCGTTTTCCTCTTTTATTAAAACTAGCCTGTACTGTTGCATGGGATTGTCCCTTTCCAGGTTGCCTTGGTTTGGGATGGGGCAGAGCCACCTTTCTGTTTAGTGAGAGAGGCTCTTGCTCTTACAAGCTGTGGCAACCAGGGGCAGCTGACTTGGTTGCTTACCCTGTGGAGAGGCTGTACCTGTGGGGAGGTGTGGACAGGTCAGGTGACCCAAACTGACCTATAAGGTATTCCATCCATCTCCCATGCTCAGTATAAAAGCTGAGGGATGCGAGGAGTCAGCTTGGCTTCTCTTCAATGACTCTGCTTCAGTGGTTCCCTTTCTTCAATGACTGATGCATGAGGAGGACCCTGTTAGTTTGTCTACCTTTGATTCTCAACTGGATCCTGTTCTGGTATCCAATTCCCATTTGTCACTGAGACCAATCTGGAACCTTCCCAGTGCCTGCCAGTGACATCTTCCTGAGAGCTTTATAAAGTTTTGTATATATATCTATATATTTTTTATATATTTAATTATTGCCTTTTAATAATTTTTTTTATAATTATTTCATAAAAATAGTTGAGGTTTTTACTCAACTCATAAATCTCTTTGTTTTGTTTTATACATCAAGAATTGTCTAATTTTTTCTATGGTTTGCTCTTATGCTTGAGTAAATTTCTTTGAATTCCCCAGGTGCTTTTCCCACATGAGTGCAAGAAGAGTAGCTAGTTAAAAGAAGTGACTGCTGGGGAGGACAGCATGACCGCCATGAAAGGAAGCTGCCTCCTCTCACTGCTGTTGGCGGGACTTGGGGTATTAGGAATACTGGAGCCAACAACAACAGAAGATACCCACTGCCACAGAGCTGAGCACCCAGTTATTGCATACAAAGGTAAGGGTATGAACAAAAAACTTTTCCAGAAGTAAGCTAAGAATTGTGTAATTTCTTCATGGAAACCTCTGTTTTTAATGTATAATGGTATGAAAACAAAAAGAGCATTCAGCGCCGTTATATAGTAACCTGGACTGTATTCCATACAAGTTAAATACAACTAGGCTTGCAAAATTTGTTCACAATTTGGTGCTGAATGTGTCATGTAAAGGTCGATGACTCGTTTTCCTCTTTTATTAAAACTAGCCTGTACTGTTGCATGGGATTGTCCCTTTCCAGGTTGCCTTGGTTTGGGATGGGGCAGAGCCACCTTTCTGTTTAGTGAGAGAGGCTCTTGCTCTTACAAGCTGTGGCAACCAGGGGCAGCTGACTTGGTTGCTTACCCTGTGGAGAGGCTGTACCTGTGGGGAGGTGTGGACAGGTCAGGTGACCCAAACTGACCTATAAGGTATTCCATCCATCTCCCATGCTCAGTATAAAAGCTGAGGGATGCGAGGAGTCAGCTTGGCTTCTCTTCAATGACTCTGCTTCAGTGGTTCCCTTTCTTCAATGACTGATGCATGAGGAGGACCCTGTTAGTTTGTCTACCTTTGATTCTCAACTGGATCCTGTTCTGGTATCCAATTCCCATTTGTCACTGAGACCAATCTGGAACCTTCCCAGTGCCTGCCAGTGACATCTTCCTGAGAGCTTTATAAAGTTTTGTATATATATCTATATATTTTTTATATATTTAATTATTGCCTTTTAATAATTTTTTTTATAATTATTTCATAAAAATAGTTGAGGTTTTTACTCAACTCATAAATCTCTTTGTCTCTCCTCTTCCTCTCCTTGGAGCAAGAGGTGGGGGAGAACATCTGTTGTCTTGTCATTGGCCAACCCAGCCCAAACCACTACAAAGGTACAGGACTCTCCATGTCTTCACTTAATTTCATGAGGTTGCTCTTGGCCAATTCCTGCAGCCCATCTGTGTCCCTCTGGACAGCAGCTGTGCCCTCAAGCTTATCAACTGTTTCTCCGAATTTGGTGTTATCTGCAAACTTTACAGACTGCACTCCGTTGCCTCCCCTTGGTCATTGATTAAGGTCTTAAACAGGACAGGTCCTAGGACCATCCCTTGTGATACTCCGCTTGTTACTGACCTCGTGGTGGAGCCAGGTCCCTTAAACATTTAGTCTCTGGGCTTCATCATCCAACCAGCTCTTTATCTGTCTGAAGGGACAGACCATAACATCTTAACTTGCAGTCAGACAGTGTTGAAAGCCTTGAGATAAATGACATCCCATGCTGTCCCCTCATCATTAAAACCTAATCATTTTATTATAGAAGACAATTGGGTTGGTCAGGTGTGATTTATTCTTGGCAAATCTGTGCTGACTTCTCAGTCACCTCTCCTCTGTACGCCCAGGAAAGTGCATTCCAAGAGGACTAACTCCGTCACATTCCCAGGAACTTAAATGAAATCAACTGGCCTGTAGTTCCCATATTTCTTTTCCTGCAGTTACTGAGGACCTTTCTTCAACCCTGTGACTTCTCAGAGATGAAGAGTCGCTGGTTATCTCTGTGTCCATGGATGCAGCTTGTCTTATCCCATGGATTTGTATAGGTTGAAATGCTGCAAGTCATCTCTGACTCAGGCTGCATCTACTGCTGATAGTTCTTAAACCTCTTTACTAAACACCAGGTGCCTTTGAGACCTTGATGGTGAAGACTGAAACAAAGGAGGTAGGGAGTCCCTCAGTGCCATCTGTGTCTGCTGGCACTAGATCACCTGCCCAATTCAGCAACAGGCTTGTATTTTCTTTGTTCAACTTTTCACCACTATTGTAGCAGTAGAAGCTGCTCCTCTTGCCCTTGATGTTCCATACAAGTCTTAACTGCCAT